CTGGTGGTGGCCCAGAGCTGCTGTCCCAGCCCTATTTTTACACTTCCTGAGACACAAGAAAAACAGCTCCTCCTCTGGCAATGCCACAGGGGTCAGGTTTCTCTTACATGTAGCCCAGTGCGGTTCCTTATGGAGGTCTTTCCAGACAGCCTTCCGCCATTAAAAGCAGGCTAGGGAATTGATCCCCAATGGGGAAGAGAAGCAGGAAAGTGATGCTAAGAACCCCCAGAGAGGTCGAAAGGGAAACTGACATAAAAGAAATCGCTGTCTGCTTCTTTTTTGAACTGTTAAAGGAAACTGGCGCGGAGAGCATCCCCAAGTAAACATGGGGTAGTTCTAGATGAACTGAGCAGGAAGAGGGTCAGAGCTAACACCCCAAGACTTACGCTGTGGAACATGGAGGGTTCCAGAAGTCTCCAAGTGCTTCCAGTAAAAGTAAGCAGAGTAGCTGAAGTTGAGAGCCAGGAGATCTCCCAAAGGGTCACCATATGGCTGAGGACCTGTGGCCAAGGCGTCTGGGCAGCAGCCCAAGTAGGTACCAGAGAGAACAGGCCTCCAGGTGTGAACAGGTCGGTGGAGATGAAATGAGTCCAGACGCTGACATGGAAGATCTGGTGAGGTGAGGTGAGCACGAGTGGGTAACAGAAGCCAGTGGAGGTCAGCTGAGAACTGGGGCCCCTTTCCCCAGTGCCTTCCCCTTATACCCCGATAATATCTTGGGAAAGGGTGTAAGTGGAGGAGAGACCCTTGGGGGAGAGAGACAGCTCTCTTCTCAAAGGGCGTTTAAATTCTAAATTGACTAAGGTTGGGGCACATAGGTGGCTCAGTGGGTTAAGCCTCAGCCTTCGGCTCAGGTCATGATCTCAGGGTCCTGGGATCGAGCCCTGCACCGGGCTCTCTGCTCAGCAGGGAGCCTGCTCCCCACCCCACCCTGCCACCCGATCTCTCTCTGCCTACTTGTGATCTCTATCAAATAAACAAAAAATTTTACCCAAATTTGACTATTTTTAAAACAAAATGTTTTTTTTAAGATTTTTATTTATTTATTTGACAGACAGAGATCACAGTAGGCAGAGAGGCAGGCAGAGAGAGAGGAGGAAGCAGGCTTCCTGCTGAGCAGAGAGCCTGATGCGGAGCTCAATCTCAGGACCGTGGGATCATGACCTAAGCCAAAGGCAGAGGCTTTAACCCACTGAGCCACCCAGGTGCCCCTAAAAACAAAATGTTTTATTTTAAAGATTTTATTTGTTTATTTGACAGAGAGACACACACAGTGAGAGAGGGAACACAAGCAAGGGGAGTGGGAGAGGGAGAAGCAGGCTTCCCACTGAGCAGGGAGCCCCATGTGGGACTGGATCCCAGGACCCTGGGATCATAACCAGAGCGGAAGGCAGATGCTAAACCAACTGAGCCACCCAGGTGCCCAAAAATTTTTAAAAAATTTAAAAATTAAAAAAAAGCCAGTTACAGTACCTACTAAAAATCTTTCTTTTCATCCTCTGCACCTGCATTGCCTTCTCTCTGGCACACCTGTAAGCACCCAACTCCTAATAGGTCAAGGCCTTACCTAAGTGGCCACCAGCAGTACCTGGCCTCTTGTCCTCTACTGGCTGTTTTTATTATGAGACCAAGCTTCTCCTCCCCTTCTTCTTCCCACACATCTGCTAGTGGTGAGTAAGCCCCGAGAGAGCAAGGCTGGGGCAGAAGGATCGGAGACCACAGAAGAGAGGCAACGGACAGCCGCAGCCAGGTTCAGTGACTCTCATTCCTCTCCCCTCCACGCTCCTTGCTGATTGATTGAAGAGCCATGGAATCTTCCTGATGGCAGAACGCCAGAAAGCCCTGAGGGGCCCGAGATGCCGTTGATCCAGATCCTGGACTATGTTCCAGTTGTGTGAGGCCTGGTACTCCCTAGGTTTGCAGGGTGTTCTTGCTGCTTCTGGGCTCCCATGAGATTTGTTTTCCCTATTTCTGTCTAACTAAAGTACATCCGCTAAGCAAAACCAGACATTTGTTTGTAGTGGACAGAATTCTCCCAAATACTATTGTGGTTATCTTGCAGATGATTGCTGCTATACAGCAAAAACAAATGAGACGCCCTAGCTATTGGGGGGGGCAATATTATTTGGTATTTTAGTATCTTCTATGGTTTCTCTCCCCTGTTGACCTGTGAGCTTCATGGAAGCAATGGTCATACATAATTCCTGGGGGTAACCGCAGTGCCCAGAACAGTCTGGAATGTAGAACGTTCCCAGCAACTGTTTATTGGAAGATGTTGGAAGATGCACCATATACATTTGTTGACGGAATGGTTGAATTAGCACTGAAGGAGTCTTTACATTAGTCATGAGCTGGTAATTAAAAAAAATATGTTATTTTTTTTTAAATTGCTTTGAATCAACAAACAGGATAGATAGGTGCGTTGTCTTCATTGTAAAGAAAGGCTTCTATTTTTTTTTAGGTAGGGCCCCCCGAAAGTGAACACTAGTTCTCCCATAAGACCCAGTGGCCTCCACAGTTTGGAGCCCAATACACATTTCCTAGACGATCTGACACCCTCGCCAGCCTCCTCTGGCTATTAACAGTCGTGTTAACCAGTGGAACCGTGAGGCTAACGGAAGGGAGCAGAACGTCTGTTTTCTGCTAACGGCTTCTGCGTGGGGTTTCTTAATGCATAGTCTGAGTTGCCCTGGAACCGGCTGGGGACAGACACCATGCAGGCTCTGGCGTTCGGCGGGATCCGAGGAGGATCCACAAGCCCCCGGCGGTGAGCTGCCCCACGCTTGGCAGAATGCGAGGTGCCAGATCGCGGGAGACGCCGCCGTTGGTACGTGGCTGTTCCGCGGCAGTCGGGCGAGGCCGGGAGGCTCCCGTTTGCAGATCCCTCGCTCACCTCTAGAGGAGCAGTTCCCGCGGTAGGGAGAATTGGGCTTAGTACTTGCCACCGCTCGGACCCGGGTATCCCGGGACTCCGGGTCCTTTGAGGGCTGGTTCGAGACTACGTTTCCCAGCAGGCCGCGCGGTGATTGAAAGCTCTGTCAGCCTATGGACGGATGAAGCTTCTGGTCGCGGAAAATGAGGAGCCAATGGTAAGAGAACAGGGGCGGTGTTTTCCGGCCGCGGGCTGTCGAGCCTTGAGTCCCACCTGTGTCCCCACAGTCCTGTCACGAATCCCGGTCGGGTTCAGGGAGGGACCGCCTCGGCGTTGTGGGCCGGGTGTGCCTCGGCGGTGGAGGACTCTCAATTCCTGCTCCATCCCCGGCCGGGCCCCGGGGCGGTGAGTGATGCGGAGAAGGAGACCGTGGCGGTAGCCTGGGAGCTGTTGAGGGGCGTGGAGGGGACTTGCCCTCCGCCGCGATGTGGTCCCTGCCAGGTCCCCGCGCTCGCCTTTCGGAGCCCGCGGAGTTTGCTGAAGAGTGGGGAGAGGTGGCTGCGGCTTTCTGTGCCGTCGTCGGGAGAGCCCATCCTCTCGACCAATGTTCTTTCTCCTCCGAGGTGGTCTCCGGGCTTCAGCTCAGGGCTATGACCCTGTGACCGCGGCGCCCTGATTAGGGCCTCGAGCACTGCCCGGGGAGGGCGGGAGGGACGGGTGTCGGCCCACCCGTGCCGTCATGTCCCTATTAATAACCCAGCGAACAAACTGGTGCTGCTCACAATGGCCCTTAGTCACAGCACCTCTGCGCCCTGGGGCCTGCGGGGTCACCTGTCGGGGTGGGGGTGGGGGTGGAGGCAGGAGGCGGGGCGAGAAATAAGGTTTCTGGTACCGTGGCTGCGAACTCTCCCGCTCAGTCCCGCTGTCTCCTGCAAGTGTGCCCAGCAGTTGTGTTTCCGAATGGATGTAGAAGTAAAATTTATGCTCAAAACTTACTTCCTAATGACACTATTTTAATCCAGAGAGATGAAATGTATCCCTGCGGTGTTTAGGTACTTAAAAATTCAGTACTTTATAATGACCAATACCAATGTGTGGAAATGTGTAAATATTTCCGTGAAAAGTGTGAGTGTCTTCTCGTCGCACCCAGGTACTTTGATGGGTGAGACAAAAAACCCGGGAAGAGTTAAGCTTCCTCACTCCAGTCTGGTCCATCCTCCACTGAAATGCAGAATTTTTTTGTAGCAGGACTTGTGTTTGTTTCTACTGGAAACTCTTTAAGCCACCCCCCTCCCCCAAAAAACCCACAAAAGACCCCAAAACAAAACTAAAAAAACCATTATATTTTTTTGTGACTCCTAATGCCTTACAACATTTTGCTGAATAAATTACTGATCCATCCAGTAATCTGACCAACAACCTCCAAATAGTTTTTTCTTGATACTGCTGTCAGTTTTATCAATGTGTTGATGATTGTTTTCGGGCCCCATGGGTGTGTGTGTGTGTGTGTGTGTGTGTGTGTGTATCTTCATTAAATTTTACTTTATTTTACAGCTTACCCATGTCTTTTTAAACCTCATTTCTGATTCCATTAAACCTTGAAATAGAATGGTACCCCGGGTTGTTGGCTTTGGGGTTCTGCGTAGTCTGTTCCTTGAAGTTGACACCAAATCTACAAGCCAGGAAAAGTCAGCTGGTCCATAACTAATACAAGTAGAATGAAGTCCACAATCTCCTAGCTTGCTGAGGAAAATGTAGCTGGAGAGCTTTTCACAAATCAGGTCATCCCCACATATTCTCTTCTTTATCTTGTCCATCATGAACAAGTTAATCCTCAAAAAGTTCATGTTTCCAAAGACTGTGGATTCTGTAGATGTGTTTGGGAGCTCCAGGCCTCACTTCGTGATGTGCGTGTTGGCCAAGGGAAGGATGATGTAGAAACAGAACAAGAAAAGCAACCCCTCTGTGGTTGACAGAATTTATCTCATTGCTATTCTAGGCAGGGGGGAGGGGGGTGAGGGGTGGGGAGAGTGGTTTCTTTGGGTACACTGGTGGCCACTGGGGCTGTCTTTTAGTTTTGAGACAATGATTAGAATGTCCAGAGAGCTTTTGATGCATACTGAGGTCTCTTGCTTTAGGAATTGATGACTCTCAATGATGTGGCTGAGGACTTCAGGGAAGAATGGGTTACCTGGACACCGCTTAGAGAATCCTCTTCATGGGTACCACCCAGCAGAGTTAGAAGAATGGGCTCTCAAAGGGTAAGGTTGCTACTCTCCTTTAGATTTCAGACTTAGATATTGTGAGACTGTCCGGGTCCGAGCAGTCTCTAGGGATGCTGGTGTCTTAGAGCACCAGCTCTCTGAGAGTCTTTGTTGCCTCCCTTGTAGAAAAAGAATAACTTCCACTTTTTTTTTTAAATGACTTCCATTTTTATGGCACTTTATGGCTTGCAGATATCTTTGATATTTATTGTCTTGTTAATATCTCACCATAACTCTTTGATGTGGTTATTATTGTCCCCCTCTTTCAGGTCAGGACCCTGAGACTTAGAGTTAAGTGGCAGAGGTGAGAGTCCAACCCAGGTCTTTGTGGCAAAGGGGGAGCTGTGTTTTTTCCTGTCACTTCAAAAACAGACAAAACAAACCTCCAGTGCTTTTTCTAAAGTACAACAGCTACCCCTTCTCCTTGCTTTACTTCATGAGTAGTATATGCCCCTTGAAGAAAAAGAGACACAAAATGGAAACCAAAGTCCCACTCCATCCCACGACTGAAGAATTACTATCTTTCCAGCATGGTTCTAAAGATGTATATAATTAACAAAAGCAAAAGAAAAAAAATGGGATCATACTTGTATGTTCAGCTGTGTATCTTACTTTTTTACATAATGTATTGTGAAGATATATTGACAACAATAGTTTTCTATACATTGCTTAAAATAACTACTTAGTAATTTATTGAATGGAATATGATAACTTCTTCCGTTAGATTGAACTGTATACTTGACCATTTTTAAACCACTTTTTAGCTTGTACAATGGCAGTTTCGTGTGGCTTAGTCAAATATGATTATTCCTTTGTCATGAGACATTTAGGTCATTTCCAGATCTTCACCAGTATTGTGATGACCATCTCTTAGCTGTCTTTCTTTTTTAGGTCTTATTTATTAAAATATACTTAGTTAGTAATTAGCTAATATATCTTTTCCACAACTTTTTTAAAAAGTTTTATTATTATTATTATTATTTTGTTGTTGTTGTTGTTGTTGTTATCTCTACCCCCAAGATGGGGCTCAAACTCACAACTGACATTAAGAATCACATGCTCTTTCAACTGAGCCAACCAGGAATCCCACAACTTTTTATTTTAACTTTTTTAATTTTCTTAGAATTCCCAGAATTTGGGGCGCCTGGGTGGCTTAGTGGGTTAAAGCCTCTGCCTTCGGCTCAGGTCATGATCCCAGGGTCCTAGGATCGAGCCCCAAATCGGGCTCACTGCTTGGCAGGGAGCCTGCTTCCTCCTCTCTCTCTGCCTGCCCCTCTGCCTATTTGAGATCTTTGTCTGTCAAATAAATAAATAAAATCTTAAAAAAAAAAAAAAAAGAATTCCCAGAATTAGAATTGCTAGATCAAAGAATAGATACATTTCTGAAGTATTTCATATTTTTGCCAAATTCCTTCCAAAAAGATTGAATTATTTATTCCTGCAAGCATTATTTGAAAGTGTCCATTTCTTTACATTTTACCTATCCTGGTAGGTATTATAATTTAAGAGTCTGGGTTAAATAATTGTGACAGTGAACATTTTTTGAGGACTTACACTTAATCTCCTATGAGATAGGTCTTATCATTATCCCTAGTCTACAGAGGAAGACCCCGAGACACAGAGAGTTTAAGTCACTTTCCTGAAGTCACACAGCTCGTATGAGGGAGGGTTAAGATTGAAACTATGGTGGTTGCACTCTTTATCTCCATATTGTATGGTCTGTTTTTATTTGAATTTCTTTGATTAATGGTAAGGTTAAAGATTTTTCACATATTTATAGTTGGTTAATGGTAAGGTTAAAGATTTTTCACATCTTTATAAAGATTTTCACGTATTTATACATTTATATGTGTGTGTGTGTGTGTGTGTGTGTGTGTGTGTGTGTGAATTGCCTCTTTGTATCCTTTGCCCATTTTTTTTTTTTTCTTACAGGTGTTTGTCTTTTTCTCATGCATGTCTGTATCTACTGCTGTCCTTCTGGGAAAAGTTTAAAGCTCAACATTATAGTTAACTTCCCTGATTCCTTCTAAGGGTGAGGTCATGGCAGCATTGTTGCTGATAAAATTATCTCTCTACATGGCTTTAGCCTTGTGGCTTCAGAGATGAATTATTGTGCTCACTCTGGACTTTCTATCAACCAAGTCTCCTTGTTTTGTTGTTGTTGTTACTGTTTTAATGGGAGGAAAGGGGCTATTTTCTCAGCCTCTTGGGGAAATCACCCTTTTTTATCATTCCATCATGGCAATCCTTTCAATAAGACCAAACACACATTAGCTTAGCATCTCCCTGGGCTTTCTCCTCTACTTAGGGAAGGAGAAGGGCTTGCATTTTTGGTCAAGCATTGTGTGGTTGGCTCAGATTAATATCCTACATTCACCTTCCTTTATAGACTTGCCGGTACAGGTGTAATCTCCCAGCTGGAGCAGAAGGAAGAGCCGTGGGTGCTACCACTCCAAAACTTTGAGGCAAGGAAGATCGTAAGGGAAAGTCACACGGGTGAGATGTGGATATTACCCCGTGGGAGGAAATCTAGCATTTCAACCTTGGTTTCTTGTTTTTGTTGTTGTTGTTGTTGTTTTAAGATTTTGTTTTTATTTATTTGAAAGAGAGAGAGAGCATGGGAGATGGGGAGGGCCAGGGGTAGAGGGGGAAGCAGACTCCCCGCTGAGCAGAGAGCCCGATGCAGGGCATGATCCCAGGACTCTGGGATCATGACCTGAGCCAAAGACAGATGCTTAAAGACTGAACCACCAGGCACCCTCAGCCCTTGTTTAGATGAAGAAATTGGAATGCTGCCATAGACTTTTGTTCTCACTGTTAGAAGTTTAAATTTGACTTCTTGGGCAATCAGTAATTGAACAAATAAAGTCTTCATTTTATTTATTTTTTTTTAAAGATTTTATTTATTTATTTGACAGAGAGATCACAAGCAGGCAGAGAGGCAGGCAGAGAGAGAGGAGGAAGCAGGCTCCCCGCTGAGCAGAGAGCCTGATGCAGGGCTCGATCCCAGGACTCTGAGATCATGACGCGAGCCGAAGGCAGCGGCTTAACCCACTGAGCCACCCAGGCGCCCCTTCATTTTATTTTTTTTAAGTAAACTTTATATGCCAAACATGAGGCTCGAATTCATAACCCCAAGATCAAGAGTCACGTGCTCTTCCGACTGAGCCTGCCAGGTGCCCTTAAGTCTTCATTTATTTATTTTTTGTTTGTTTGTTTTTAAAGATTTATTTTACAGAGAGAGAAAGTGTGTGCGGGTGGGAGGAGGGGCAGGATAAGAGGGAGAGAGAGAATCCTCAAGCAGACTCCCTGATAAGTATAGATCCCCATATGTAGCTCGATCCCAGGACCCTGAGATCATGATCTGAGCCAGAATCAAGAGCTGGATGCTTAACTGACTGAGCCACCCAGGCGCCCCTCAAGATTCATCTTTTTTTTTTTTTTTTTAAAGACTTTATTTATTTATTTGACAGAGAGAGAGAGCAAATGAGCATGAGCCAGTGGGGAGGCAGAGGGAAAGGGAGAAGCAGACTCTTTGCTGAACAGGGAGCCCGATGCAGGGCTCAATCCAGGAACCCTGTGATCATGACCTGAGCTAAAGGCAGATGCTTAACCGGCTGAGCCACCCAGGGTGTCCCCCAAGATTCATCTTAAAAAGGTTTTAGGAATTTATGTTTTCTGTAAGCTTAATGAACTTCTATAAACTTTTCATAAGTGAGAGGTGCCTGGCTGACTCAGTCAGTAGAGCATGCAACTCTTGATCTCTGGGTTGTGAGTTTGAGCCCCACATTGGGTGTAGCGATTACTTAAAAATAAAATCTTTATAAAAAATTAAAAAAAAAACCTTCTCCCAAAGTGAAAACTTTATACAAAGTCAAATTAAGTGTAGTCTGTTGCCAAAGCACTAATCTCAATCTTTCTTACTGCCTTCTGATGCTTTGTCCCGATAACTGGTTAACTTTGTTCCCCATTACTTTCGTTCATTTTTCAGACTTTGAGAATCAGGTGACAAAACTCAATCAGGACATTTCAGAAATAGCAGAACGATGTGGAACATCCTCAGAAAGGGCCAATAAAGATATTTCTCATCCTCCTAGATGGGGAGGAAACTGGGAGAGGGACCTTGAATTCGAAGGGCAGCATGGAACCCTACCAGGAGAGGGCCAACCGGAGCCCCTTCCACAGGAGAAGGATTTAAACAAGCTGCTGGACGGATATGTGGGAAAGAAGCCTGTGTGCGCAGAATGTGGAAAAAGCTTCAACCAGAGCTCCTATCTCATAAGACACCTGAGAACCCATACTGGTGAGAGGCCTTATAAATGCATCGAGTGTGGGAAGGGCTTCAAACAGAGTTCAGACCTTGTCACCCATCGCAGAACACACACAGGAGAGAAACCCTACCAGTGCAGCGGGTGTGAGAAAAAATTCAGCGACAGCTCTACGCTCATCAAACACCAGAGAACCCACACAGGTGAGAGACCCTATGAATGCCCAGAGTGTGGAAAGACCTTTGGGCGGAAGCCACACCTCATAATGCACCAAAGAACCCACACAGGAGAGAAGCCCTACACATGTCTCGAATGCCATAAAAGCTTTAGTCGAAGCTCAAACTTCATCACCCATCAGAGGACCCACACGGGAGTGAAGCCTTATAGGTGTGGTGATTGTGGGGAAAGTTTTAGCCAGAGCTCAGACTTGGTTAAGCACCAACGAACCCACACAGGGGAACGGCCCTTTAAGTGCCCAGAGTGTGAGAAGGGCTTTAGAGATAGTTCTCACTTTGTAGCGCACATGAGTACTCACTCAGGAGAAAGGCCTTTCAGCTGTCCTGACTGCCACAAAAGTTTCAGTCAGAGCTCACACCTGGTCACGCACCAGAGGACACACACAGGGGAGAGGCCGTTCAAGTGTGACAGCTGTGGGAAGGGATTCGCCGACAGCTCTGCCCTCATAAAGCACCAACGGATCCACACGGGGGAAAGACCCTACAAATGTGGTGAGTGTGGGAAGAGCTTCAACCAGAGCTCCCATTTCATTACCCATCAACGAATCCACTTAGGAGACAGACCCTATCACTGTCCCGAGTGTGGCAAAACCTTCAATCAGCGTTCCCATTTTCTCACACACCAGAGAACACATACAGGAGAAAAACCTTTCCACTGTAATAGATGTGACAAGAGCTTCCGTCAGAAAGCACATCTCTTATGCCATCAAAATACCCATTTGATCTAGGAAATGGTTTGTAGTGGTTCTTCTGCCCCTTTCCAGATTTTCATTTCTGCTGCCTCTGGGTGCTCCATGTAGAGAAAGCCTGAACATGGACATCAGTGGCTCAAGCTGGGCCTTTTCCTACACTTTAATGGTGAGGATAAACCCACAGGCCGCAAATAATGTTCTGAATACAAAAGGCATTCCTTCAGTGTTTTTAACTGACCTTACGGAAACGTGAGTTTGGTTGATGATGCTTGATTACGGAAAGAGGAGTGAGATACGTGGGGCCACACTATCACTATTAGTGATTAATATTTGAGCTCTCATAAGCCCTTAATACTAAATAACACCGGGCCCTTAAAAAGTCCTCAATACCTTTATTAGCCTTATGATTCACTAAGGAATTCATTAGCACAGCCTTACAAGGCCAGAACTCGCAAGCAATTAGACTGCAGCTAGAGGATCTGGGCCATGAACACAAAGATGTAATAAAGCAGAAAACACTCTCCCTATCCAGTGCTTTGCAGACATTAGTCACCAGAATGTCTCATCGCCGTGACAAGGCAGAATTCTCCTAGAGGAAGTTTGTGGTGCTGTGACTTCAAGGCTGAAAGAATTTCCGAAGCTCTTTGCACAGCAGGGTATGAGGTACTCCCACTGGAGGCTGGCTGCCATCGGAGGCCTAGAACATACCCCACGATCAACAAGCCAGAGGAGGCTGGGAGAGGACTGTAAAACTATGGAAGCAAAACCGCTGAGACGCTAAATATTACAAGGATCCTTCCTGGCAATTAGCTGAAGGAAAGCGCTCCTGTTTTCTAATCACCTGGTTCGTGGGCCCTGTAGTTGTAAGTTAACGCAAGCCTGATGTTTTTAGATTAATCATTTTATGCACTAGCACATTCCTATATTTAGCAGAAATGAATTGAGGGAAGGCAGGGTGTTGGAAAGAACACTGACTGCATTGAGAAGGTGAGGTGTTGGAGCGCTGGCCCTGACATTTAATTTGGCCAGACTTTACCTCCTCTCGGCCTCTACCTTACCTACCTCACAAGGTTGTTGTGAGGATCTAATGCGTGTGCGCACGCGCACACACACACACACGCACTTTGTTGTTAAATTATAAAGTCATGATGTCTGTAAAGTGCAGTTTTCTAGTATTGTTGGAAATGTCTTTCCTCCAAGGAACTCTGGCTAATATTTCTCCAGGTGCCCCCTTTTCTCTCATAATCACAGATTTCTTTCTTTACCTGTTGAAAACCTAAGGCCCGAAATCGCCGAACGACGCATTGTGGGTCACACAGGGGACAGAAGAGCCAACATTTGGCAGCAAGTCCTCTCTACAACAGCACAGAACGGGCCAGTTCTGTGTCTCAGAAGTGAGACACTCCGTGTAGGACTGGATGCCCCAGATTATATGCATCAACCCATTTTGAATTTGGAAATGATGGAGGGATGTGGCCCAAGTTCCAGGGAGCTTTACGGGATCCTGTGCTGGGGAGTGAGAAGGGGAAGGGCAGACGCGGGTGCTTAAGGAGGGAGCTGGGTGTGTCACACTCGGACAGAAAAGTGATCTGAAGGTGTTCTTTTCACGCCTTCCTGTGGCAGTACAGACTAAATTATTACATGAGCCTTTTAACAAGAGTTCATTCTCTCTCATTTTATGGAATCCTGTCTGAGAGCTGTAACCCAGCGGGATAGAACTCAGCTGATAACCTCAGCTCTTTCTTTGAAAGAGATTCAGATTTTAAAAATCCGCTTAACCCAGTGCCGTGGTTCTCAAAAAGTGAGCCCAGACCCGTAGCCTCAGTGTCACCTGTGAACTTGCTAGAAACGCACATTCTAAGTTCCCACCCCAGAGCTGCTGAATCAGAAACTAGGGGTGGAGCTCAGCAGTACGTGTTTTAATAAGCCCTCCAGGCGATGTGACGTATGCTCTAATTTTGAGAACCACTGCTGTAAAAGGTGTCTCTTCTATTAAACACAGCCGCAATACTATTATTACTCTTGAAAAAAAATGAGCAGTGATTCACAGTATCATCAAATATTTCAGTCAACGTTCACATGTCCCTGGTTATCTTACGTTTTTTTGCTTTTGTCATTTTTAGTTTGTTTGAATCAAAATCCAAATAAGGTCTCCATATCCATTTGTTGGTATGTTCCTTACGTGTCTTGATCTGCTCCCCTCTTCCTCTGTCTCTGTTCTTATAACTTATTTGTTGAGGAAACCTGGTTGTCCTGTAGTGTTCCCCCAGCTCTGTGTTCGTCCACTTCCATCCTCTGGTTTTTTGTTTTTTTTTTTAAGATTTTATTTATTTATTTGTCAGAGAGAGAGAGAGAGAGAGAGCAAGCACAGGCAGACAGAATGGCAGGCAGAGGCAGAGGGAGAAGCAGGCTCCCTGATGAGCAAGGAGCCCGATGTGGAACTCGATCCCAGGACGCTGGGATCATGACCTGAGCTGAAGGCAGCTGCTTAACCAACTGAGCCACCCAGGCATCCCCCTCTGGGGTCTTTTAACATGACTCTCTATCCTCAGCTCCCCTCTCTTTTTTAAAAAAAATATTTTATTTCTTTAACGTAGTCTCCACACCCAACATGGGGCTCAAACTCACAACCCCAAGATCAAGAGCCAAGAGGCATGTGCCCCCGCCGACTGAGCCAGCCACCCCTCCTCTGCTCTCCTAATATTGGTATTTGGATGTATAAACATGATCAGATTCAGATTCCGAGAGGTAAGAATACTTCATGGTGATCTTGTGTCCTTCTACCAGGAAGTACATGGTATGATTTTATCTCATGATGTTGGTAGCCCTCATGCCATTTGCATTTGCCAAATGGTGATGTTTTATTTCCATAATTTATTCCTTCTTCATTTATTAGCTGAAATACTTCTATAAGGAGAACTCCCTCTTCCCAATTCTTTGGTTTCCCCAAACTACAGTTTATATAGGAACAGCACACTAGGTGGGTGGTGGTGGTGGTTGTTTTTAAGATTTATTTATTTATTTATTTGAGAGAGACAGCAGAGGGAGAGGGAGACAGGCAGACTCCCCACTGAGTGGGGAGCCTAGCATGGGGCTCAAACTACCTGAGCCCAAATCAAGAGTCAGACACTTAGGGGCGCCTGGGTGGCTCAGTTGGTTAAGCATCTGCCTTTGGCTCAGTTCATGATCCTGGGGTCCTGAGTTCGAGTCCTGGGATCAAGCCTCATGTTGGGGCTCCCTGCTCAGTGGGGAGTCTGCTTCTTCCTCACCCTCTATCCCTCCCCCTGCTCATGCTCTCTCCCTCTATCCCTCTCTCTCAAACAAATAAAATCTTCAAAAAAAAAAAAAAAAAAAGTCAGACACTTAACCAACGGAGCCAGCCAAGTACCCCCACCCTAGCTGTTTTACTAGAATTCCCTCAGTTTTTAAATATTACTGCCTGGATTTCAGCCCCATGCCTTAGATTTCGGAGTCCCGTCCCCTGAGAGACTGTTTCTGGACATTTATAACTGCATAAATCTCACAACTTTTCTAAGGTACTCCCTTGTTTTTCTCCTGCCTTACTCCCCTCCAGTTTGTCCGGTTCTGCCATCAAACAGTGTGTAAAAGAGTTCCGTAAGTACTTGAGTGATTCCTCAGTCAGGGATGGACTCCAACTGGCCAATTCATACTTGCCAGGACTGTCCTGCCTGAAGCAGGAGAAGAAGCCACGTCCCTATTAGCAGGGAATGATTCTGCCTCCTTTTCAGGATAATATGAGAGTATACCATCTTCGTCTCTTTTATCTGCCTAGGTATTGTTCTAAATCAAATATGATCTGTATGTTGTTTTTTAAAAGATTTTATTTGTTTAATTGACAAACAGAAATCACAAGTAGGCAGAGAGGCAGGCAGAGAGAGGAGGAAGCAAGCCCCCTGCCGAGCAGAGAGCCTGATATGGGGCTGGATCCCAGGACCCTCGGATCCTGACCTGAGCTGAAGGCAGAGGCTTTAACCCACTGAGCTACCCAGGCGCCCCAAGCAGGAATATTTAAATGCTAGTGGTGAGGGTTGAGGTAGCTGCCTTTCCTTGTTTTCCCTTTGTTTCTAACCTATGCCTGGGCCATTGGCATCTTGGAATACTCCACATTTCCTCTCTCTGTCACTTCAAAATCCTCATCCTCACCAAGCCCTAACGATCTTACTTCGCTGATTGCTCTCAAACCTGTGTCAGACCTCCATCCCCACTGCCACTCCCCAGCTCCAAACAACCACCACCATATTTTCTGAGTTCCTGCCTTCATCTCCTAACTGATCTCCCTGATTTTGTTTTTGCTCTAATTCCTTCTCATAGAAACCAAAGTAATCATTTAAAATTTTAAATCGAGTCACATCACATCACCTGTCTGCAGCTTCCCATTGCTTTTTGGATAAAAACCCAAATCTTCAACCAGACCTACTAGGCTCCCCTTGATCTAACATTCCCCCCCCCCCCCGCCCCCACAGCCTCCTCTGAAATCACCTTCCTTCTCACGTTCCCCCCATTCCTTGATCACACCAAGCTTGTACACACCTTAGAGCTTTGGTACTAACAGACCCCTTGCCCCAGAATGTTCCTTGCCCACATCTTTGCTTAGGTTCCTCTTTGCCAACCAGCTTTCAGCCTGAAATTCACCTCCTTTTTTCTTTTTTTTTTTAAATATTTTATTTATTTATTCAACAGAGAGATCACAAGTAGGCAGAGAGGCAGGCAGAGAGAGAGAGAGAGGAGGGGAAGCAGGCTTCCTGCTGAGCAGAGAGCCCGATGCGGGTCTCGATCCCAGGACCCTGGGATCATGACCTGAGCCGAAGGCAGAGGCTTAACCCACTGAGCCACCCAGGCACCCCATGAAATTCACCTCCTTGCAGAGACTTTCCCTGACTGTCCCCACCTAAGTCAGTCCTCGTCTCCCTGCACTCACTATCCCATTAACCTCTCTTATTGTCATCAAAATCCATACACCTGTCTGACAGCTTCTCGTTTATCGCTTGTTTGGGTAAGCTCCATGAGAGGAGGGAGGCACTTCTCTTGTCTACCGTTCTCTTCCCGACACCTAAATAGTGTCTGACATGTAGCCGGTGGTTAGTGAATGCTCCCCAGAAGGGTTAATGGACACGTACTCACAGGCAAGGAACTTACTGTGTTGGAAAAGTAGCAGTGTGAGACAGTGCTGGACAGGTGAGTGAGGGTCACCCCAAGAAAGCTCTTAGCTGCCAAACTGAGGATTTCAGACACTATTCTCTGGGGCAGGGCGTGTT